ATATAAAGTAGGGTATTTTCAATGTAGTTATTTTCCTTCTTTATTTGGAAACTATTTTGTAGTTGAGCAAAAAATGTTTAATTCATGAAAATACAGTTATCCAATCAGATACTTTTAAATTTGTGCCCTCAGAAACATGTTTGAAGGATCTCTCATCAGCTATGTTTACATGCACAAAATTTTTTGATCGGATTGAAATGTATACTGTTTACATGTACACAATCTGATCACGACAAGTGTTTACATGCACCGGACTTTTATTCAGAATAAAAGTCTGGACATGCGCAGTGTTGTAAACTTTCAGCTCTACTTCCGTGTTACAAACGTAAACAAAGCTCCTCTGTGCGCTCAGGAAGGACCCGTGTCAGCTTTTAATAACGGTTGAGACGTCATTACTCCTCGGTTGAGCTAAAGATGAAGCAATATGTTTTTCTTTTTTGTTTTTTTGGCGAAGCAACGTCTGCTGTTTGCCTCCTTTTTTATCTGTTAAGAGAACGTGGAGGAAAAGTTCTGCGCGGTGCAGCGCAGCTGAGCTGCTGCCCCACCTCTTCGGGATGAAAGTCAGAAGAATCAGGTCAGTTTTCTACAATCAGAATAAGATGATCCGATTAAGTGTTTACATGAACGTCATTCCAATTATCAATCGACATCACCCACCCTTCTCATTCAGATTAAAAATTCATTCGGATCTAGCTCAATCGGATCAGAATAATCCGAAAGGGCTGTTTAAATGACACATTTTTATTCCGAACGGTCATTTAATCCGATTACTTATGTCCATGTAAACATAGCTACTGACACACACACCCGGCCCCGAGCTGAAATGGGCAGGACAGAAATGGAAGGACGTTCTTAAAGAGACAGAGGCCAATTTCAAGGTGTTTAGAAACGGATATGATGAGAAGTCAAGTTTATTTACTATTTAAACAATAAACAGCATTTTAATAACAACTAAAGGTGACATATATGCTTTATTATGATAGAGAATTTAAATATATGCCTGAGAAACACATAATATTGCCCCTATAATGTTCAAATGGATAAACTTATTGGTTCTTTGTAAATCTTCACTCATTTTGAGATTTAATGCCTGCAACACATTCTAAAAAAAAACTTGGATAGGGTCAACAACAGACTGGGCGAGTTGAGGAACGCTCCAAAAAAAACACCTGTTTGGAGAATTTTACAGGTGAACAGGTTAATTGGGAACAGGTGCGTCATCATTGGGTATAAAGGAAGCATCCCTGAAAGTTTCTTTGCACTGTATTCAGTTGAGTATAGTTCAAAAAGTATTTGCAAATCATTGTGTTCTTTTGTTTTACACAACGTCTCAGCTTGGTTGGAATTGGGGTTGTATATATTTTTATATGAAAACTATTTTCTGAAGAACTAAAATACAGCTCGTTGTGGAAATCACTACTTGACCGACCTGAAGAGAGTTTTGAGCTCGGACTTGTCCAGCGGCTGAGCTGAGAACACCTTGTAGACTCCGGCCTCCTGCGGCTGCCTGCGCCGGAACCCGGCCGAGATGTTGACGGGACAGGCGCTGGCCACGCTGTTGAAGAACAGGGCGGGCGTGTCGGTTGTAAGGACGCTGGCGAAGGGGAACAGGCGGGGGTCCGCAAACCCAAAGAAAGAGGTGTTGAGGTAGCCATGAACGATGGTGGCCACGGTGCTGTGGTAGCTGCCGGGCAGGTGGTCGAAGGGGGGCGTGAAATCGTGGAACTCCAGCCCAGAACCGAGGCTGTCCTGGAGCGGGGTTGCCAACACTACGATGTCGTACAGCTCTGATCCTGTTCCTGCTGCTGTGGTGAAGTTCAGCTGGTACTGGAGCGCCTCACCTGCAGCACGAAAACATCAAGATCTACTGCAGCACTAAAGTGATAAAAAAAAATGCTTGTGTGGTGCCACATGTCCCCAGCCTCATGGGGTTCATGTCTGCAGTGATTTGCAACGAGATGCACACATCACATCAGGACCGTCTGAGTTCAGAGGATACAGTTGGATGTCATGTAGGCATCCGGACTACAACAAAACAGCAGTAAACAGTACATGGCTGAAATGAACTCTCCTCCATTACTTAACATATTTAAAGGCCTAGTGTTTCTTGAAGAAATGCGTATCTGCAGCCGTCCATCATGCTAGAGATTCAAACTAAAATCTTTCTTACACCGAACAGGGACAGAGCTATTATGGTCAAACATTGTAAATTATGTTATTCACTCACGATATCCTAAATATTGAATATGTCGAGCACAAGCCTCAGCTACTACCACCAAGTTTGAGCTGGATATCTGTAAAAATTACCTGGTTTAGATTTGTTTTTGTTAGCCTGGCCCGTGCCTTCCTACGCAGTTCCACTCAAATCTAGTTTCCCTTCACTGCTCCGTCTGGGATTTCTCCGGGAGAATTTCAGTCGGGCCAATCAGAACAGGAGGAGGGGTTTTGAACGACAACATCGATTTTCTGTACTTTTGTGGAAATTTTGTGGCTTTATCGTCTCTATATGTGTTTTAAAATGCTAGAATTTCTTCATTATATTTCAAACTCCTGCTCAGTTGTCTCTGCACTCGCAGCCCTGTTGACACAGGTGAGATGACGTAATGACGATAGGACGGTAGAGTATAAATTTCTACCGTCTACCACATATACTGCGCAGCCCTAACCTGCAGCTCTCATTTACAGCTGTCTCATCCGGCTCGGTTCTTCTCTCCTCTCAGTAGGGTTGTTTACAGTGCACGCACACAATTTCCGGTTAGCTTCCTAGCTTAGCCTCCTTCACAGTGGAGCTGGCACACTTACGTCGCAGTTAACTGATCCAATCATTGTAAACTTCAACAGAGGCCACGCCTCCAGGAAGCAATCGCTTCTCGTTGAGAGTCCAGACCCTCGTACGAAGCAAAGCGAAGAACAAGGGTCTGGTTTTTAACCAGGCTACGGTTTTGTGGCTCTTAAGGTTTTTTTTTTCTTTTTACACGGTTTCAAATGCTCCTATATTCTTGCAGCTCAAGCTACTTTTGGATCAATATTAATAAATCAGATTTTTAATATTTCATTAGTTAAATCAGATGCTGCCATTTTGATAGCTGGGACCTTTTCTTCTCTGCTTGTTTCCCCGACTGTGAAGCATTAAAGATCTTGATTTCTTGGGTTGAAAATAACTTTAGAAGCTGAGATGAACTGGATTAGTGGTGAAATATTAAACTACCTGATTGGACGGGGGAGATGGAATTGACCCGTGCCTTCAGCAGATTAGCGTTGGCCATCCTCAGCAGACCAGAACACACAAGCTTGTTGCCTCCTTCCACAGCCCACAGGTTGTTCTGGGCACCAGCTAAAGAAACAGCACCTGAATC